GCCGTGCTTGCTGCTGCTCTATAAGGCCCTTGGGGAGAAGGGACGGGCAGAGCACTTACAGCCTCGCCGCCGCGCCACTCAGCGGGGACACACCTCCTCCTCTTCCTCCTCCTCTTCCTCCTCCTCCTCCTCCTCCTCCTCTTCCTTCTCCTCCTCCTCCACCTCCTCCACCTCCAGCTCGAGCTCCGCACTGCGCCGCCCCCGCACCGCTGCTGCAGTGTCCGTCTGCATCTGCAAGGCCGGCAGCAGCGCCAGTCACGGCCCGCTGGACTCTGGAGTTCGGGGATGCGGTTGGCCGCAGGGGCCGGGGGAGGGTGCCCCCAACGACGCCGGCGCCGTCCCTTCCCGCTGCTGCTGAACTGGCGCGACCGGATCGTTGTTTTGTTTCAGATGGACCTCGACCCCGCCGCCGACGCGGAGGTTGAGGCCTCCACGCTGGACGGCCGCGGCGGCGCGTATTACGTCGGCGACGTCGGCGACGACGTGCAGGTCGAGGTGGAGGTCCAAGTGATAGCGGGCCCCGGCGCCGGGGCCGCGCGCCCCGAGCACCGGGGCCACGAAGACACCCCCCTGGGGCCGGCGTTCAAGGCGAGCACATGTCCCTGTCCCGTGTGCGGGTGTGCTTGGACCTTCCCCCCACAACCACCCGGGTCACGTCCCTAGGCACCCAGCTACCCGACCGCTGCCGTTCCTTCGTGTGGTGTTTGTTGTGTGTGGGTGCTATTGTGTGTCTAGCCTGCGCCGAGCCGCTAGGCACCCCATCGTGCTTGCAGCACACTAATCTATCTTTCTCTCTTGCTCGCTCTTTCTGTCTCTCTAGATCTCTCTTTCCCCCTTTCTCCCCCCCCCCCTTTTCTCTCGCCCACTGCCCACTCCACCTTCTCATTTCGCAGCCTCTCCTCTCCCACATGCTGGCTCCTACCATACCCTGTGCAGCTCGAGGGTGCTTGTCCTTATTCGTTTTTGTTTCTGTGCACGGGGCTGAGAAGGTGCGATAGAAAGAGTCGCAGAGGCGTGTGTCTGTTTACGGGGTCTGGAAGGGTGCGAGCGAGACGACGACGTAGGTCGTGGAAACCCCCGTAGTCTTGGCGCTATCCCTGTCTCACTTGCTCCAATTAAATGCACCTCCCCCTAGTGTCCGTGGCGGTGCACGCGCGCTCACTCACCTCTCTCCTGTCGCAGAGCTGGTCGAGCTCGGAGCTGGAGTCGTGGGGCGGCGCGGGCGGCGCCAACCGCTCCCTGGACATGGAGGGCGTCATCAAGCAGCAGCGGCTCGTGGTCGCCGAGGAGATGGCCGGCTACCGGTACCCCGGCGGCGCGCACAACGTGAGCGCGCGCGCGCTCAGCGACCTGGTGCCCGAGCTGGGCGGCCAGCCCGTGCGCTCCGTCATCCTGACCACCTGGCGCTCCGGCTCCACCTTCCTCGGCGACGTGCTGCACGCCCACCCGGCCAACTTCTACCACTACGAGCCGCTGCTGCACTACGACATCGTGCAGGTGCGCGGCGAGCCGCTGGCCCGCGGCGCCATCGACACCCTCCGCAACCTGTTCCACTGCAACTACACCGGCCTGAGTGAGTGCATGCCTGCCGGACTGACCTTAAAACCTGAAAACTTTCATTAAAATAATTTCTTTAAGTAAGTTATTTATATCGTTTCATTCAAACAAACGTCTTTTTCTGAGTGTTCCATGTAAATTTGATGTAAAAAAATAAGTAAATAATTTGCATTATTTTGTTTAAGCAGACTATTTTTCGTGTGCGTTTTATGTTTAAATATCATTAAACTTACATTTTGCTTTATTTGTTTTAATGTGCGGCCACAGAGGAGTACCTGGACTACGGGCCCGAGCACAACTGGCTGTTCTCGCACAACACGCGGCTGTGGGACGCCTGCCAGAGGCGACCAGACCTGTGCTGGCAGCCCCAGTTCCTCACCCCGTTCTGCAGACTCTTCCCATTCCAGTCCATGAAGGTGGTGCGCCTCAGGCTGCGACTCATGGAGGAGCTCCTTGCAGACCCCAGGTTCGGCTGCTCTCTTCTTTAAACAATAAATATCCACATCATTACGTTACCTTGTATACTGACAACTGCCATAATTTTTTGACCTGCAGCCTCAACATCCGCGTTGCCCTCCTGGTGAGGGACCCTCGCGGCACGCTGCAGAGCCGTAAGCACAGGGACTGGTGTCCTGGGCGACCCGACTGCTCAGAGCCCTTGAAATTGTGCAACGACCTAGTGTCAGACTACAGTGCAGCCGTACGACTGACTAAATTGTACCCAGGAAGGTTCAGGTGTGTGCGTCAACTCTGGCAGCTCTAAGAATTGCCCTCTTCTCTGGTTATTTTAATCCATTACTAAATGCCGTTATGTTTCCGTGTGCAGGGCTATGCGCTATGAAGATTTATCTATGGAACCATTCAGCAAAGTTCAAGAGCTATTCGATATGTATGGCCTCGACTTTCATCCTGCAGTCCAGGAGTTTCTGGAAACGCACACCAAAGTAGATGTTGGTGGTGTTTCTTCAACATATCGTAATTCGAAGTCTGCACCTTTTCATTGGAGACAAGATCTAAAACATTCTGAAGTTCGACTAATTCAGAATAAATGCCACCAGGCCATGAAATTATGGGGTTACCTGCCAGCTCTAAATGCGAACCATCAAAGAGACTTCAATCCAATGGGCAACTTCTCCTTGCATTGAAAAATATTTATTGAGTCTTGAAATCTAGTTATTTGTCTGCAAAAATGGAACCACCTTTGATCTGAATTCCATGCACAAATGTGCTGGTATAGGCTTTGCTTCAGTTTACACTAGTTTCTTCTGTGAATCAATACTAAATGAGAACCTATTGATACCTCATGAGATTCAGTTTTAATCAGACAAATACACTTTCACTGTACAATAAACTGTGTGATCTAATTTTATAGTAGCCTTAAGGTCTGCTACACCTTTTGTACTATAATGCATAATTTTGAGTCACATTTTTTGGCTATTTTGCCAATTTATTGCTGGAAAAGCACCAAAGCTGACTTAATATTGTTACATAATTTTTATAGGGCTAGAACTGTTTTAATGATTTTTGTTACTGATTTGTTGTGATAGGTGCTCATAGTAATATTTATTTTATTGAATACATTTAAGTTGAAACACTTGGCTCAACTGTGAAACAAATCATACTGCTGACTACAATAACAACGCACATAACTGTTATTCGTATTCCGAACCAACATGATGTCTGATATTGCGTTTGTTTACAGATCACGTGCTTTGTTGTTTATGAGCAATGCGGAATTGTTACTTTTGAGATAAATCTTCTGTGATCATATTTTGATATAAATATTTAATATTTTAAGAACTACGTACTGTAGTAATAAAAATGCACAAAACAAGCAATTGTGCAATATTTTTTGCACATTGAATGTTTATTTAATAAGCTTGCTTAACCAGGGTCAAACACGCAATAAATTTTTGCAACATTCAAGACTGAGGTTGCAGCTTCAACATAAAATGAGTATGGTGAAACTTGCTGTCAAAAAGTGCAAATAAGTTAAATTGTTTATGGTTGCGCAAAGTTGTACTGTACTTATTTAGTGAGGAATTCCATTTCAGGCCTTCTTTTTAAGGTATCCTCTGTTTTACCATAAAAGCAAATGCTATCTGAATACCCTTATTCTGTAGACAGGGTATCTTACTGTGTTCTAACTGCATGTGACCATACTCAAATAAACAGAGGGACCAGAACCTTCTTTTTGATAAAACTTTTGTGGCACATCAGCAGAAGAATACAGGGCATCCTAGTGAACGGTTTCACCACACCATTTTCAAATATTTTTGTACCTTACTAGGAGGGGAGAAAAAGGCACTTTTGTACGTTTCCTTACAAGAATGCTTGGAATTATCCCACTTTTCAAGAATTTTAAACTTACTCTAGCACTTCAAAAAAAATTTGAAATCTGACAGAAGATTCAGGCTATTTATGTTAGTGATAATTTTGATTGTGCATGACACCTTGTATCAAGGTGTCTGTATTACTATAGCATGGTGTGCAGTATCGACACAACTGGCACTCATTTATTAAAAAGTAGAAACAATTTTTTTCATTCAATACTGATTTATAACTCTTCCCATTGCTGTATTCTATAGTGATATGTGATGAAGAGGATCATTTTCATATCTTACATTTTAGTCATTTGTGTACTGTTTTCAGTAAATTATAATTTAGATTAATTATTT